CCATCATCATACTTCATCACTGTCTAGGATACAATTCAGCTTTTGTCTTTATGAGTGTTTATACTCACAGGACCTGTCATAAATACACTTGAATAATAGATTTCTTTTGTTCCAAAAGTGTTTTTTCAGTATTATGTTATGGAGATAAAAAGGAAAGCAATAACAATATTCTTAACCTCAATAGTTTGTTAGAAAATTTAAATAAATATATGAAACTATTTGGATTATACTCAAATAGCATCATGTTCCAGGTGGACAGGAAGGGGAGAGATTATTATGGATGAGTTCAGCCAGGAAAATTTTGTGCAGGTGGCAGGAATTTTAGATAGCTAACATAATTTTCCAGAGCATTTGGCCTACGTTTTTCCATAATATTTCATGAATCCTTTTCTCCTTGTACAGCAAATAGTCTGTGGAAGTGTATTGTTAAACTTATTAATTCATTTAATGAACATGTATTGAAAATCTACTGTGTGTTAAGTATTGCATTTGAAATAAAACTCACACTAGGTCAAGCTCCTGTCATGAAACATAGGTATGGTCAAAATCTGTAATGGAAAGACCAGGTGTAAAATTAGATGTTAGCTGGACTCCCAAAATCAGAGAGAAAAGTGGTTGTTAGGCATATAAAGATTAATAGAAATGAATAAAATAAAGTATCACAAATAATTGCTTATTCTTGGATGTTAGAAATGTGAAGGTAAGTAATAAAAATGTTTTCAGATTTTTGCTTAAGTCTTATAATAAATGTCTTTAGCATTTACACAAGATCAGTAGCTTTTTTGTATATAGCATGTAATGGGCGCTAGAGAAATTACTTCATATGTTTCATGCCCAAGGTCTGCTGCAGCCTAAACTTTCCACAGTTCTTATGGTCTTTTAAGACAGTTGGGGATTCTGTACATTAGAAAAACTGGCCACTCATCTGTAAGGAGCTGCTGGCATACACTACATAGTTTGAATCTGACTGAATTCTCTCAGAATTTTCTGTCAGACTTTGAGGGTGGTGGAGGCAGGGTTCTGACCAAATATTCCCATTGGTGTGTTCTCCTAAAATCTAATTTGCAGGATAATGTCTTGATTCTTATAGGCCTGCTGTATAGGACTGTTAATTCCTGTTTTCTTTCTGTTATATTATTCTTGGTAAATGTTTATTAGTGAACTAGTAATATAGTATTTTGAGATCTTTAATCATAAAAATACTTAGAGGAAACCTTAGCTACAGTATCAGGAAGTTAGTAGGCCACTATTACTGATTCATCAGATACATATTTAGTGTTCCTGGATGTGTACTTTTTTATAAGTGATAAACACAAATATTTTGATTTGAACCAAGAAATGTATATTTTTATGAAAGAGAGGCTATAATTGAAGAATGAATTTAGTTTTTTTAAAGCAGAATTAAAAAAGGAACAAAATTTATTGTCAAATTGAATCCAGTCCCCAAAAACTGCTAGAGGGAGAGTAGTTTTTGTTGTGGGATCCAGACATTCAGTTGCTTTTGCATGTTAAAATTTTTCGTCTCAGACATTTTTATTATAATCAACTATTATCTGACTGAGTGTATAAATAGCACTTATATGGGAAACAGACCAGAAAACCATACAAGTAAAATAGAAAACTGCATAATTTGTTTTTGGACAAAGAGCAGACAAGCAAAATAAGAACCTGAATTTCCTTGCTTGGAACCAAAACTTGATTTATAGCCACTCAATAATTTGCTTTTGGAGTAGGAAGTTTCCTGGGGAAGCCTGGGACTCCAGTGATCCTCACAGGCACAACCTTAAGAACCAGCACAGATCTGCCTGGGACTGCACAGTTCAACATTCATATTTGTGATTAATCAAGTAGGAGATTCAAATATGTCCTGCCAATCAGAAATCAAGTTATATTTTCATGTATTCCAATAAGCTGCTGACAGGCTTCTTGCCCTAGGTATTTATTTAATCCTTTGGGAAATTCCATTGTTATGTGACCTATGTCCTATTAAATTTTAGACTGCTAAGAAGGAAAATAAAGCATTTGCAGCATGTCTTCTGTTGTTGTTGTTATTTGTGTAAAAAAATGCGTATTTTATTTAACAAAAACTAGCAGTTTACCAACCTGCAAATCCATCTACTTATTTTGTTTCCCCAGAAAAAACATTTTTTGTTACTTCTCTCTCTCTCTCTCCCTTTTTTTTTTTTTTTTTTTTTTTTTTTTTTTTTTTTTTTTTTGTTTTTGTTGTTGTTGTTGTTACCGGGGCTTGAACGCCAGTCCTTGTGCTTGCAAGACAGGTGGTGAAACCACTGAGCTAAATCCCCAGGCCAGAAAAACCACTTTGAACATTTTTCCTGTTTTTTTGTTTGTTGTTGTTGTTGTTGTTGTATCAGGGATCAAAGTTGGGACCTTGCACTTGCCAGGCAGGCAGTGGAACCACTGAGCTAAATCCCCAGCCCCTATTATCCTCAGATGCATTTAGGACATTGTTGTGTTCTCCTTTTTCTGGAGATGTGTTTCTGAGAACCTTAGTTATTGTTCCAGTCTCAGTAAGATTCCCTCTGGACAGTTTCACAGCTGCTGTCCGGGAGTATCTCTGTCATCCTGGAGTTCTACTGGCTTCCACTCCACATTGGACTCTTTTCCTAGATTCTGTCTCCTCTTTTCTTTTGGTTTATTCCCATGTCTTCCTAGAGTACAACATCATGTAGTTTCTGCTTTAAGGAAATATCTGAGGAAAATTTTTTTTGTCCTTTATTAAAAATGTTCGGAAGCACTGAGTTAAAAATCTGGGGTTCACATACTTCTTTTTCCCTTTCCTTTTCTTTTCCTTTTTGGTTTTCTGAGACAGGATCTCACTGTGAATTCACTAACTTTGAATTCAATATGTAGCCCTAACTCATGATGATCCTCTTGGGATTACAGGCTTGCAGTATTCCCCTGGCTTCATGTGCTTCTTAAGAGACTAATGTATCTCTCTGTGTTACCTCATCATCGGAAGTAGCTGCTGCCTTCAATTCTTGCAAGCCAAACTGATTGATCCCACAGCTTGTTTCTCTATAAGCATTCTAGCATTGCTTCCATCACCCAGACTTTTGCTGACCTCTTCAAGCTCATCAACAGAGCTTCATTTGAAGTAGATGGCTTTCCATTATTATTCTGGCAACTTTTTTTTATCCAAAGAAAGAACAAACACGTACTATGCTATTATACACTCCAGTTTAAAATTCTATAAATTTTATACAATTTTAAAAATTTTATAAAATTTTTTTCTCTTATCTGTTCAAACCTGGGATATAGGATTAATTTCAGTATTTTTGAAGAAAATAAAGTTTTCTTTTTCTAAACTTCAAAAAAGAATTAAATTTATCATTAGGCTGTTAATGTGTTTATCAGATCAATCAGAATCTCTAGTAATCCTTTGATTTCTATTATGGTAACTGAAGAAAACCCAATATGAAGTAATCATTTCACGCAAGCTTGGTTAGGATAAAGTCTACTAGTTCTGAAGAGACCCCCCCAAAAAAAAATTCTAGTTGAGAATTTAACTATTTTTGTGATCCTAGCCATCAAATTCAAATCCTTACACGATTCTAGGCAAGGGCTTTGCAGTATTTTAAAATATCAAATGGAAAACATTCCTTCTCTTCTTTGAAGAGTTCTGTTGATAACACTCGTGCTTCATTTTCTCACTTAACCTGCCTGTATGGTATGTTTTATGCCAGACTATTAGACTTCTGATCTCTCCCAGTATGTTCAATATGAGTATAAGTAAATGAAAAGAAAATGTGCTTAATGAGTAAGAACACAGAAACCATGCTTTAAAGCCTAAATAAAAATAAACTTTACTTTTATTTGTTATTTTTAACCCAACCATTCTGATTTTAGTTAATAATTCATATTGTGTATTAGATATATTCTTATTATGTATAGATATGGAAATTGATATAGATGAATTACTTTCACAACTGCCATTCAAGTACAGTACTTTTTTTGGGTACTGGGGATCAAACTTGGGACCTTCTATCTGTGAGGCAGGCAGCAGTACCACTGAGCTAAAACCCTGGGCTTAAAACTGTACATTTTTAAGAATATGCTACTATAATTTCCTATTCATTTATAATTTTTATTTGTCCTTCCAGTGTTTTTCAGTTTTTATTTTACCCCATAATTTAGATGATTTTTCCTTATCTAATTTCTGTTAAAATCTGGACAGTGTAGGTGCATAGCTTTCTAACACAGGATTGCCTAACTTCAGTACAAAAACAGATCATGTTAAAAGGCAGATTCTGGTAATGGGGCTTGAGAGACTGCATTTCTACTTAATAAACTCCCAAAATGCTGATGTTGGTGGTCCTTCTGCCAGCACTTAATTAAATAGCAAAGATCCAGATTTCCTAGGATGTCGGAATAAATTGACCACTTCAACATACAGAATTTATTTTGAAATATCAATGATCCTTGAGTTTCTAGAATTCATTGAGAGACTTTGCATTATTGTTTTCTACCACGTGCATCTAAATAATACTTGATTTTTTCCTTATGGATTTTTTTAAATGTTTCGTATTTGAGTCTGGGGGTAGCTCAGTGGTATAGCACTTACTTGGATGTGCAGAGATCTGGGTTCAGTATTCAGGACCACCTACAATACACACAAAGTTTCATATTTGAAATTTTTCATATTTGTAGGTCACTATTTAGAAGTAATTCCAGCACTGTATTTTCACTTATTAATGTTTTATATATTAAATATAAACTATATTTCTTATGTCTTTGTAGAAAAAAGTATCATACTTCATACCTGCTAAACTTCAATTTGCAAAACATAACAAAATATACATCTCTTATCTATAGTTTTGAGTCATTAGGATCTTACTATATGAACTATTTTATGCTTACACATAAAACCAGAAAAAATAATTTAAAGAAGTTAGTAACTAGCTTTATTGAAATCTGTTCTTCTCTAATTAAGTATGAGCTATGAATAAAGAGTAATGCTTTTCTTTCTTTTTTAAAAATAGCTCAATCACTAAAAGAATTTGCAAGGCTACTTATTACAGTAGAAGAAGAAAGACGGAGACTGGTAAGTTTGTTCCTCATTTTTAAATAACATTTCTCTGAGCATATTTAAAAAAAAGACTAGATTTATTATTTAATACCTGTACTAAAACTACATTTTACGAAAAGGTTTGGGAATATGATTATCAAATATTGCTAATAAGATACATCATTCTATTTTGCTTACTCGGCAGATATAAATTACCTTTATTTTGGTTACCAATTTAATTGGTCTGAGATTAGAAATGTTGAACAAACTGCCATTAGGAAACAATGATGGTGAAAATGGGAAAGAGTGATCAGAGATGTGGAAAGTAAGTTGAAAGTGACATGAAACTAAGGGAATATTAGTTCTGGGTGGGTGTAGCTATGATTCAGATCCTGTGCAAATAGTTCAGAAGAGCAGTAAACCCATTGGTGGGGGTTGTAATTTAACAAATGTGTTAATGGATATCAAACAGTTTGTTACTGTGTGGGAGGAAAGAAACCCAAGAGAATGTACTCAGCACCAAGGAGATTTTGTGCTCACCAGAGGAAAAGCTGTTCCTTGTAGGAGGAAAAGAGGAAGAGAGGATTCATGAAAACATAGTAAAATTTGGAACAGTAAATTAACTGAGGAGACAGGTACAGAATAGTGTAAGGAATGAATGGTTTTCTGTGAGCAGAAAGTAGTTGAAAACAGCCAAACACAAATTATTCATGAGAAAAATAAAGAATCTGCTGCTTAGTGATAAAGAGCCATTGAGATTAGACATAAATGTCAAGAAAGACCAGCTGCAATGTTTTCTTGATTTCGTAGTAAAACTCAACATTGGCCTGTGTTCAGTAAGTATGATTGGGTGGTCAGATTTAGGTTAAAGAGTAGTGCAGAAGACCAGGCACTGCATTAAGGGTATATGGGTTTGTATAATATTAAAATTGTTCTTGGTTGCTTATATGAAAATTGAAGCAGAATGATACCCATAGCCTTTGAAAGCAGAAAGGGAAGTGCGACTATTTATGTCGGGGTTCACTGGGAACAAAGCCACATTAGGCATGCTTGGTAAAGAGTGGAAGTTGGAGTACTGACTGGCTGTGACGCTGTGAGGTTGAAATGTGGCTGAGCTGGGAAAGAGTCCTCGGGAATGAAAAAAGCTGATCTCAGCAAGATCTTGAGATCATCAAGTGTGATGACAGGGTAAAGGACAGAGATTAAAAAGAGGAAATGGCTGAGGAATATAGTAGAGTGTTGTGTAAACCATAGAGATGAAGATTGAAATTCCAGGTCTTAGTGCTTCAAAGATCTTCATTTCTGCCTTTGGCCATGTTCTAATGTTTGGGAAGGAGAAACTTTTGTTTTCATAGGTGAAGTCATATCGTGGTTTTAAATTGCTTTACCTGTTGTTTCAGAGAACATCTATTATAATGTGCAGAATAATGAAATAATCTCTGTAGATAAAAGCCTAACAGAATGTATTTCCATAGAGATTATATACAAAACAATCATTAAACCTACTGATGTAAATACTGGAATGATAATCAACATTTCCAGTCATATGGTATTATTATAACTGAATAATTCTATACCTGGTAACACATTGAATGCAAACATGCGTCAGTGAATTTGTGTTTTAAAAACTAGTGTTTTATTTGGAAAGTAGAATATTTTAAATGTACCGGGAAAATTTAAAAGAACTATAATTATAAAGCCATTTAATTATTATTTTTAATTTCTAAGTCACACGTGTATATTAATTGGGTTTGACCAAAGTCTTAAGTAACAGTAAGCAAAAACAGTAAGCAAAAAACTTAAATCTTATGATAGATGAAAGAGGATACTTATCATGTTATAGTTTAAATAAATTATTTTATTACCAGTGATCTACCATACTTAATAAGATGAGTAGTTATGTCATCTTGGTAACATCATGACTGTTTGCAGAAAAAGAGCCCAAAGAAACACTGACTTTAGAAAAGGAATCTCTTCTTAAAATTCAGGGTTTTTTCCCCTCAATTTCTGCTAACGCCAACAAAAAATGCATTTTTCATGGAACAAAAAATAAGAAAAGAAATAGTGCATCTCAGAAATTTTTTGATACTGGGGATCGAACTTGGGTCCTTGTACTTGTGAGGTAGGTGGCCAAACGAATCACTGAGCTAAATACCCAGCCCTTACATCTCAGAAATTTTTGATGGTAGCATTTTCCCTGTCTCATGTTTTTCAGTAGAAGAATTATCTTTCATGATGCAGCATTTTCCAAAATGTTGTTGAATGATATCTGACATCACATGGTCATATTAAGAAGGGCCTTTTTCCACATGTGTGACTTGTTTATTTCTCTTGGGAGTATATCCTCAATATGTATCCATTTTCCCATGAATGAATCTAATTTCTCATTCTTTATGGCTGAGTAGTATTCCGTTTTACAGAAAAACCACATCTTCTTTATCCAGTTTCCAACTGATGGGCAAATGGGCTTTTTCCAAGTTTTAGCTATTGCAAACTGTGCCACTATAAACACATTTAAATACCGAATAGTTTCTCTGGTGTGAAAAACTATAATAGTACATAAGATCCTAATGAGATAATTGAAATAGGAAGAAAAGGACTAAAGGTGTAGGGAAAGTGGGAAGGGTAGGAGAAAGGGAATAGGGGAAAGAAAAATATATGAGAAAATGAAAAAATGGAAATAAAATGTTTGTAAATGGGGAGGGGAGGAGGGAGTAAAGGGAAGGCAGGGACAAGAGGAAAAAATGAGAACTAAGACCTGTCTGTCATGTAAAGGAGCAAGATCCCAATAATGAATGTAACTGTACTGTATACTTAAAATGTACCAATAGACTCAATGAGAGAAAAAAAAATTAGAAGTATCATAGATTAGCTATCTTTACAGAAAGATTCAGACTGCTCTCAATATCAGCTTCATGATTACAGCTCTTCCTTTTTCTTTAGATCAAGCTAATTTGGCTGTGCAAATGTTACTGTTTTATCCGGGTTGTTCAAAGTTAATTTGAATCAATACTAACATACCAGGAGAACTCTATATGGAAACATGAAATGCTCAGTTGTGGTCTTCTGGAATAAATCCTGGTAAACTCTTCTTTGTTTATATTAAAATAATTAATTTGACTCTTGCTTCCAGGTCTTTGGGCTTGATAGATTCTTTCCCTGGCTCCCTGGACCATGCCTGCTCCTGTACTCATTTCCCCATTCTCGGTGCTCTCCCTTTTCCTCTGTCCTTTCTTGTCCCACAGACTTTCTTTCTGTTCCTCCTAATGTCACTACAAGGTTTTTTTGATTGTGGATCTTTGCATTTTCATTTCATCTGCCTTGAATGTTCTGATCCATATTCTTTGCAGATTTGCTCCGTTATCATTTCAGCTTTATCCCAGATATCTTTCTTAAAACCTTTTCATTTCCATACAGTCTAAACTAGTCCCCTTTTGTCCTTGTATATTTTGACAGAAATACCTGCTTTCATACAGCTTGCATCAGAAAAGGGGACATAAAATACATTTGGTGGTGAGTGCTGAAACGTATCCAATGGTGAGCTTGTTAATATAAAGAAGAAAATGGGGGAACACAGTTAAATTTTGAGTCTATTTAGGTGCCTAGTAGTTGTCTAAGTACCCTTGTCTAGGGAGCAGCTGCAGATATATATGCCGGAGTTCAGAGAAGCAGCTGGGGTTGGAAATACACATTTAGAAGTTGTCAATATCTAGAGGGTATTTAAAGCCATGGGGATGGGTGATATTAGCCTTTGTCAGTGTGGAGACTGAAGAGAAAAGGTGGGCGGACAGAGCCGTAAGGTGCATGGAGTGCTGTGTTTGTTCGGATATGGTAGAATCCACAAAGATTAGATCAGCAGGAGAACTTACAGAAGCTGCTTGGACAGCTCTTTGCAAGCCTTATTTCTTCACTTTTAAATAGTAATGATGGAGGAATAATAATGGGAAGCTTATGGAGTGTGATGCATTCTTCAGGGTAGAGTGTCTAAATGACCTCCTTTGCTTTATCCGCTCCTCTATCCTACTCAATTCCTGCCCTGTGGTCTCCTCATGTTCTAAGTAGTCTCAGCTCCTTACCTGGAGAAATGATTTTATGTGGGTATAAAACAATGCATATATACATATGTTTTTTCCTTGATTATATCTTTATCACCAACAAAGGAGGCTTCAATTTCAGAATATTTTAGCTGATATTAATCTGAGAGTTTTATATAGTTGGACTTCTTTTATTTCTCATGCTAATTAATATGAGATACTTATTTTTTAACTATCATTGCTCACAACATATCAATCCTTGACCTGTGTAATTGCAAATTTTTCTTTAGGTTTCCCACAAGTTATGTTCTCTGTATTCAATGCTTAGATTAGTCTTTGAAAGAACTTTCCTGAAATGGTCTAGGTACATGGATATTATTTTGGAATTAAAAAGTTACAGAGGGAATAAAAGGAGAAATATATAATCTTAATTTTCTAATTTCCTTTCTTTCACTTTTTAAAAAACATAAGAAATATTACTTAAAGTTTAATGGTAAAACCAGAATAATTTTAGATATTTACTAAAGGAAATAATGTGTCCAAAACATGCATTATTTGGTCATTGATGAGCCTCAAGAGATTTGTAGTATGTGTCTGTGGTGTCCATTACCTTAGAGATAAGCCTATATGATCTTTCAGTATCTGAAATGTGTTTAATAGTATGTGGCTTGCATTATATTTCTATTAAGTAGCAATACTGAGGATAGTAACTACAGCTGATATTGAACAGTTCCAAAGTGTCAGGCACTGCTCTAATAATATATGAGCTGATTAAATCCATACATCAACCCTCTAAGTTATACATTTTAAATACAGCTGGAACACCTAATTTTTTAGTATTGGGGCTTGAACCTAGGACCTTGCATTTGTTAGGCAAGCAGTCAGTCACTGACTTACTTCTGTAGTTTCCCCTTCCCCTTTAAACACTTTTTATTTTAAGATGGGAGTCTCACTAAATTGCCCAGCCTGGCCTAGAAGTTATATCTACCTGACTTAGCCCTT